AGTCGTTCAGTAATCAAGAATGTTTTCTTGCAAATAAGAAGTCTCTAGCTCAACACTTCTCATACTCCTTAAAAGTCAGTTCCTCTGTCATGCATCAACATAGTGCTTTAAACTAGCTGGAATCTTTGGGATCAAATTCGAGTTCGAGGGAATAATCGACATAATCCTGAATACCCTAGAGTAAAAAAAAATGGAGGGAGAGATTTGCAATAGAAAATCTTTCGTCATGCTTGACATTTTCATTTCTTTAATCAGCTACAATTCAACAAAAATTTTGTATTATTCCAACTTCCCAACCATTTATTTATGATATTCTCTTTCCAACCCTTTCTGTTTGTCAACATACAGAACTTATGGCAAGTTCACACTTAGTTTCAAAGATCATCCATTTTCTGCAATCGTAATCAAGCGATGACTGACAAATGATCTGAAAGTTAATTCTCTTTGGCAGATTGCTACAACTCAATTGAATAATGTTGGGAATTTTCTTTTTTTAAACCCACTTTTATCAATCAAGTAGCAATCAAAATGATTTGTTGAACTGATCAAAATCTAATAAAATTATTGGTTTGTTGTGGAGGGAAAAGCTTCTTCCCCAACCCAATCATAGGAGTGGAAGTGTTAAAGACCTAACTAAAAAGCCTAGGCACTTTTTTTTGCCCTTGGATACTAGCCAAATTCTAATATATTAAATCCGTTTGGAGCTTCAAGTGAAAAACTGCAGTTTAAAAAGTTTCATAAAATATTCGGGTTAAAAAAGTTCTTCAAAATTTATTTAGAGTGACTTTCTAAATTTTTTGTGTTAAAATAAAAAAATAATTAGATATATGTATATAATATGCATAATAGTTCTAAAATATAAATATTAAGTTGTTTTATGTCAATATAAATATAATAAATTAAAAAATTATGTGAGACCCACAACAAAACTCTAAAAATTTGAAAGAAAAATTTATAAAATCAACTTCTTGAATCAATATAAATAAGTATTTTTAGATCTGAAAAAACTATAGCATAAACTAGTAAAAAAGTTAATGCCCAAACAGATCTGATTTATTTTATTTCAAAATCCTTAAAAACTACCTATTTTATTTAGCTCCAAACATGCGTATTATTGAATTTGATGCATTGATTTTATCAAGACATTATTTTCTATGTTTTTTTTTTTTTTTGTGATTGCGTACACAACATGTAAATGTGACGAATTTCAAATGTGTAGAACACGCATCAGTTCTTGTCATGAAAACAGCGATAAAACGGACTTTAGTGATGGGTGGGTTGTTGTAGGATGAGATTAGCAATTTTTATATTTTTTCTGTTTATTTATTATTTGTTAAAACCAGATTTATTATAGGGTGATTAGTTGTCAAATCATGTCAGTTTTCATAAGATCTAGATGACTTTGTGTTTTTATTTTTTATGTAATTTTTGTTTAAATCTTATTTTAATTTCATTTTGAGAACGATTAGGACTTTAGATATTATTAGTTTAATTTTTTGTATAATATCTATTTTTAAAGAATTTTCTCTTATTTTTTATGTATATTTAAGATTGTATCTGTTATGTGCATAAAAAAATGATAATTTCTTTATGTCCCGTTACGACTACGTCATAGGTTCATGGCATTGCGGTATACATCAATGGTTCATATCATAACAACTTAGGGTGTGCTTGATTTAACATTAAGAAGAATCGAATTAGACAAATTCATCTATTCCATATCCATCTATCTGGTTATTGTACTAATCATATTGATAAAGTATCATCATCCCATGTTTAGTTCAGTATTAAAAAATAATGAGTCTCGCATTTATCTTATCCAATATTTTATTTGGATAGAATATTAAATGATAGTATAAAAATATTAAATTACTAAAGAACCTTCTAGATAAAGAGTAACAAATATATTGTAACCAAACTATTTAAACCTAGCAAAAATGTGAGTTTATTTAAGAGGTTGTAAGTGTTGTTAAATACACTATTCATCCAGACCCGTATTATTTCTAGGTAATAATAGCAGACCCAAAATGTATATTCAAATATTAGTATAAGAGGAATAAGGTATGCCAACATTATTTTTCTGGGTTCCTCTTTCCCCTGAAAGTTCTATCTATGTTGAGTATTTGTCCCCAAGTGGAAGAACAGAATTCCTCAGTCACGGAATTGACCAGTATGTTGAAGTATTGGCACCATTTATGGTTAACTTTGAGGTCTCTCGGCCGATGTGGTCAAGTTGTTGAAGTCATCGTCACAACTCTCAGTATATTGTTTCATACTGTTCTGTAATATCGCGATATAACGTGAATCTCTTCCTAGTGCATTTATATCTTCTTTTGTATGTATTGTCTGATACAGTTATGCTGTGACACCATGATCTGTCCTCCAAGTTGATGACCGACACCGAAACCTTGAACCATGGTAAGACATTGTACAATGGTAGTGTTGACTACATATGAAAGCATATGGGTGAAGAAATTAAGATGTTAGCTCAACTAATGCACACAAGGTGAGGTAACAATCATCTAGATATGTTCTTATCAAGCATTAGACAATCAAAAATTAATTCAAATCTGTCATTGGAAACACCATAAAACATTCACCTTATCTAAATTTCAACCATGATAAACAGTACATAAACAGGGGACGAGGACGAGGACGAGAAGGAAAAGGAGAAGAATGAAAGAATTATCTACCAACAATCATAGTAACTGTGACATTGTTTGAGGATACCATGTCATGGCTTCCATTCCATAAGTCCATATCCACAGAGCTTCTCATTGAAGTAAAAGTGGGTTGTCTTGGCAAAGGCAAAGTTGCACTGTCAGTCTCCAACATCAACACCACAGACGCCATGACCGGCCTATGAACCGCCATGTCTTGCACACACAACATCCCTAAATTTATGCATCTTAACACTTCATTGTGGCAGCAGGAGTTGATAATCGAACGATCGACTAGATCCATTGCTTTGTTATCTGCCCACAGGTCCCAAGCCTGAGAAAAAATATAAAGTTAACCTAACGTTACAACACGAAATTAGTTATTCAACTACATAGTAAATCTTATGTTACAGTCATTGGATCAGTGAACATGTGTGTGTAGACTTACATATCCAATAATGTTTGAGTATTCAGTTGAGCGAAAACTAGTATTCCTCCGGCCACTAATAATCTCTAACAATAATATCCCGAAACTATAGACATCAGACTTTATAGAAAATAGACCTTCCATTGCATATTCAGGAGCCATGTAGCCACTGCAATCATCAAGAAGCGGCAAAACTCGAATTAGTACTGCATATGAGTGAAAAAGATGATTCAATCTGTTGTTAGTATGGAAACTTCTAACACTCACTATGTACCAACAACCCGATTTGTGTTGGCTTCATTTTGGTTTCCTCCAAATATTCTGGCCATACCAAAATCCGAAATTTTTGGGTTCATCTCTTCATCCAACAAAATGTTGCTCGCCTTTAAATCTCTATGAATTATTCTAAGTCTTGAATCTCGATGAAGATATAGGAGCCCTCGTGCAATTCCTTCAATGATTTTAAAGCGTTGCTTCCAGTCTAGTTGGGCTTGCTTAACAGTGTCTGCCAAAAACTCATCAAGGAAGGCAAAAAATTTCAAAAATGAACTCTTTTGTAATTAACAGCAAAAACATCTCATCTTCTTAACCTTGAAAAGTGGAAATAAGAAATTTAATCGAATTCGAATGAGAAAAGAAGTAAGAGTATGACTATAAAAACTAACCAAAAATGAATGAATCCAAACTGTTGTTGGGCATGTATTCATAGAGCAGCATCTTTTCTTCCCCTTGAATGCAACACCCCAAAAGTCTGACTAAATTTCTGTGCTGTAATTTGGCAATTAGTGTAATTTCATTCTTGAACTCTTCTAAACCTTGTCCAGACTTTCTTGAAAGCCTCTTTACTGCTATTTCTTGACCCCCTTGTAGCTTACCCTGAAGGACAAAGGAATATGTAGCTTTGCCTAAGTACGTTCCAAACGGCCATTTACAAATTCTAGCAATTTGTCAAAGCAGAAAAGAAAACTTTACCTTGTAGACAGAGCCAAATCCTCCTTGTCCAAGTTTGTTTTCGAGCGAAAAGTTGTTAGTAGCTGCAGCTACACTATTGAAATTGAACAATGATAATTCTTGTCCGGATCCTTGCTGCCCTTCGACACTGAGGTCCCCTGTTCCAGAAAAATCTGTTGAAAATTCTCCACTTGGGTTGGCACCAATTTGTGGTAATTCATGGTTCTTTCTCCTTGAACCTGTTATTGCTGTAGTTGAGAGTTGGGAGATAGAAATTAAATGGTTTAGATAATCAAAACGACATCTATTTTCATAAACACCTTAAAAATTTTACCTTTTAGTTTTGATTTGTATCTCCACAGCAGCCAAATGAACATGCTTAGGAAGAATGTTCCAGCTACTGAGACAGCCATTATCACAAGTATGGTCACTTTTCTCTTGCCACCTGAAATTAAAATATGATGACATTGAAGATAAGATTGTACAATTTCTTGTATACTAAAACAACTATCCTGAAACTGAAAATCTTATGCTTCTTTCGGGCTCAATTTTCCCATAAACAAAGATCGCTAACTCAATTGTTTCATGTCTCTCCTGAAATAGAGACTAATGAAATGTAGCGTTAAGTGATGATATTTTGAAGCTAGCTAAAGAGGGATGCAATTGGTGACCGAGAACTATCCCAACAGGACTCACTTTGATTCGTGGCTATATCGTGAACTCTGCAGAGTTTTGTATTTCGGAGAGAAGGTTGGGTGCCACTTTGTTGCAGCCCTTCTGAATAACTTATTTGTGATTCTGTTGTGAGCGCTTAACATAATGGGAATAACTCTTGACTTAGTAATGACAGTTCAAATCTAGGTAAAGAGGGATGATTAATGCAGAGTTCTTCAGAGAACAATTTCCAGAAAAGGCAGTTCACGTACAAAGACCAATACTCTTCCTTGAGATTTCTGATAACTTCATTTGGCCATTGATCCCAACACCCCCCCCAAAAAAAAAAAAAAAACACCACCACCAACAAAACAGCCCAAAACCACCAAACCAAACAAAAAAAATATAATGAAAACCATTTGACAGTTTCTCAGATAAATTCTAACAGCAAAACAAACTTGAGAAAGTGAATAAAATTGTATCATGGTTCTGACAAAGCAAAGGGAAATGAAAGTTAACTTACCTAGTTCCGATTTAGGAAGACGAAGGTACAGGGTGTTCCCACCTTCATCAAAACTCTGAATGTCAACCAAATCCCCACTCCATAACATACAATTGATTCCACTAACAAAAGCATAGGCATTGCAAGAACAATTCCTCAAACACTTCTCTTCACATTCTTCATTATTGCTTTCTGAACCATCCATGAAATCTGGAAGTTTCACCCCCTCAATCCCCAAAAACCCATCCTCTCTCCCGCTCTCCCCCTCGTTCCTCTGGCACTGAGATGGTGTCCTTCTAGTGCACCCACCCGACCAATTTCCATTCCTCCATTGATCTAAGTCCTTTGGTATGAACCCTTTCATACAACTGCATATTGGAGAATTAACCACACTACAAATTCCAAAAGGTCCACATTTGTTATACAAATCACATTCGTTCCTCGGTTGCATCTGTATCACACTCCATTCCCTTAGAACTTCATCCCACCTCACCTGTCTCTCATATCCTTCCCAAGTTATCCGAAAATTGATTAAATCAGAATTGTTCATCTTACTATATGTAAAATACAACCTGCCATCCCCCTCATTCAAAAGGCGAAAACCATATAGATAAATAGCTCTCATGCGGGGGACACCAGTGAATATTATTCCATTCCAATGCCCACTTCTCCAATATCGATTCAATCCCTCCCATATCACTATCTGTGGCGATCCACGAGGATCAACACCCATCGAATACCTTCCAGGTGAAGGATCATTGGCACTTTTCCAAGAATTGAAAACGCGACTTTCGCCTTCTTCAACATTCATGTAGACTCTCATGTCAGGCAAATAAGTATCAGTCGGATAACTGAAGCTGCGCCATAAGGCCTCATCAGAATTGTTCCTAGAGAGAACAAGATCACCAGTGTCCATGAGAATAGCAGTTGAATTGCTCGATTCAATCGAAGAAGCGTTCGCTGACCAAACTGAATTGCCATTTCCATCTAGAACCATTAAATTACCATCACTTCCTATAGTTATAACTCCCCCATCACCTGATATTGGTTCTTCTCTATTGGCTACCCACACAACTGTTTGAATTGGAACTTTATCGTACCATATTCCAACGTATCGATAAGGCGAATTTTTGGGACTAAAGAACCCCAGTACAAAAATTTGGGCTGCAGAGATAATGAATTCACCATCTCTAACAACTTGTCCTTGAATGATTGTGTTGGCTCCATGAGAGAACAAGGCAGATGAATAGAAGATGAACAGTAGAGACCAAAGAAGAATGTTTCTTGGGTTTCTAAAACTAATAGCCATCTCACAATCTGAAGTTGTTTTTGCAAATGTTTCATCTAAGAATATGTTTATACATCAGTTCAACAAAAGCATGCACAAGGTGTTATGTGCATATTTAATGAATAAGCTTCTCGTAGTCATCCACTTTGGCTTTGTTTGAATTAAGTAGGGGGTTGAGAAGATTGACCCTGACAATTTTGTTGAAGATTCTTAGTTGACAAATCCACTAACACTTCTTTTTTCAATATTTTGGTGTACAACGTCGTAATTAATACGATAATAAGTGTTCCTCCCTTCAAACAATACATCATCACGTTCGAGAATTTGTATTTCTACAATGAATATAAAAATGTCTATTATTTATATTTTTTGTACAAACACATTGAATATGTTCTATTTTGGATGAGGGACTTAGAAAAATGCTATTGGTACCTAATCTCGGGATCTTATTCAATGTCACCTTGGATGGAAAGCATGCTCCATCTAACATCGGAACTTACAATTAATCCAGTAACTGCATTGAATTAAGTTCCTATAGTATTGCTCGAAAGGGACATATGTTAGGTATATCCCAATAAAAAAGATGATTCCCAATGAGTTAAAAAAAATTATTTATTTCTTTTTTTTGGGGTTCTTTGTGGCATGTTGACACTGTTGGGGAACAGCTTGTTATGATAATGACAGAGATGCACATAATCAGATTATGTTAATCTGCCCAAAATCTTATTTATTACATAACAAAGATTTAGATGATTTTTTTTTATTTTGAAAATTGATGGGATTACACTCCTAATTAATTCATTTCATTTGCCATTTTCTATATGATGCATTGATTGCAGATATTAGTATTAGAGGTTAGACTACTGTTCTTTTTGTTTTTTATTTCTTATTATATAGTTTGTTATCACCATAAATAGCCAGACAAGAATTATATCACCGTCCACTTATTATTACATAGCTCTGTTTATTTCATTTTTGTTGGGCATTACGATTAGGAGTGTCCGAACTCATTTACGCGTATTTCGACAATTTCTCTATTCGATCCGATCAAAAACGGATCATCCACGCATAGAGTAAGGAATTCATAGGGATAAATCTCTTATGACCTGACTCAAAAGTGTTGTTAAATTTCGAACTCAATTTGTCTAGATTTACAACTTATCTTAATCTCTAATACAAAACGCATTGGAGTTGTTGTCATCGGGCCATCGGCATGACCCGACCCAATGGTCGATAACCTAGGCTCACCCTTGAGTTAGGCTACCAGGCTATGAATTGATCACCCGGATTGAAAAAGGGTAGGCACATTTTAGTTGCCTTTGAAAAAGGGTCTAAACTAACTTACTTGTATCTCAATTAGTCTCCTCTTTTGTCCGGTTAAATATAGATCATTCACGTCAAAATTAAGGTATTCATGACAGGATAAATCTCTTATAACTTGATTTCATGAGAATGTCAATATTTAAACACAACACGTCTGAATTTATAATTCGACTCTATTATCTCTTGAACTACATTTGGAGTTTGCATTGATATTTTGAGACAACTCGTGTTAGGTTAACAACATTTGAAATTGTCCATAGGGGACAAAGCTGATGACTTATGGACAATTCCAGCCAGCCACTTAGTGTTCAAAACACCCGATAAAAATAAAAAAAACAATATAGATTATATTATTACTAATAGGACCATGTGATAAATTCGTCTACAAGTCACAATGTGTGTGTGTGTGAGAGAGAGAGAGAGAGAGAAAAGAAGAAGAAGAAATCAGCCGCAAAGTCGAAGCACGAGAGGTGGAACTAGACTTTCGTAAGCCCTCGGATTTGGACTTGAATTTGTGAGGATGAAATGGCTAGGAAATCAAAATGTGCCTTGGTCAATGGGTTCAGGCTTAATGAGAGGTGGAAGGTTTGCCACACAATACATATGTATTACAGGGGTGGGGACAACAAAATTCCAACCCACTAGGCTAACCATTAATGTGCGTGTAGGTTCGATCCGTTGAAATTTAAAAAATAGGTAAAAAAATTTAAAAAATAGGTAAAAAAATTTAAAAAAATATAACTCGTCTAAGAGTTTAACTAGTATTCTGAGAGACTACTTTGGATGGTAGGCTGTCAGCTCTTAATAGATTTTTTCTACTGCACACATCTGACTTAATTAGGACACAACCTAGTGAATTGGAATAGAACCCAGCCTACTCCAAAAGTTCATTCTACATCAAAAATGCATTAAGTGAAAGAATCAGTAGGATTTTGAATTGATCATCAAGGTATATATGTACACAAGGGAAAGAAAAAAGAAGAAAAATTTACAAAGATTTGCTCTTTATCTGCCTTCACAAATGGTGATAGTAACATTGTTAATAGAACATCTTTCCTGTATCTGTTGAGAAGATTGTCTCTTGGAAGAAGAAATTTGTCTTTCAGTAAACGCAGGTTGCTTTGGGGTCGGAAGATTTACAATTTCACTACCAAGCATTGAAAAAACAATAGAAACAGTTGGTCTATCTTTCGCAGATTCTTGCACACATAACAGTCCCACATGTATATATCTCAAAATTTCCATTCTCAAGTGTGTATCATATATCTTTGGAGCTAGTAATGCCATGATATTATCTTCATTCCATAATTTCCAAGCCTGAAGATTTTGAGATGAGAATGAATAATCGGAATACAAACAAAACATGAAAGTTTGAAAATCTACATTAATGGAGGAAATGACTTACGAATCCTAGAAGGCTCAAAGAATGCTCATCTTGATAAAAACTGGTGTTTCTTCTCCCACTTATAATCTCTAATATCAGTATTCCAAAGCTGTAGACATCAGATTTTTCTGAGAATTTTCCTCCCATTGCATATTCAGGAGCCATATAGCCACTGCATCACATCATTTTAGCATAAAAAAAGTAAAATAAATTCAATATAACTTGAATTATTGCATGAGAATAATGAATTATTCTAGGCAAAGAGTATAAGCTTACTATGTTCCAACAACCCTTCTCGTGGTCGCTTGATATTGGTTGCCTCCAAAAATCCTTGCTAAGCCAAAATCTGAAATCTTTGGGTTTAGTTGTTCATCCAATAAAATATTACTTGCTTTTAAATCTCTATGTATAATTCTTAATCTGGAATCTCTGTGAAGGTAAAGCAGGCCTCGGCCAATCCCTTTGATGATATTGACATGTTTACTCCAATCTAGGACTTCTTGTTTGAGTGAATCTGAAAGTTGTTTCCAAAAGAATAAGTGATGCGGAAGGAACCAATTGGAAAACAAAGAAATGGCAAAAAAAAGAGCTCAAAAATCAACTTACCAAAAATAAATGCATCTAAGCTTCCATTTGGCATGTATTCATAGATCAACATCTTTTCTTCTCCTTCAATGCAGCAGCCAAGGAGTCGAACCAGATTGCGATGCTGGAGTTTGGAGATCACTACAACCTCATTCAATAACTCCTCTAGCCCTTGTCCAGAGGATCTTGAAAGCCTTTTCACAACTATTTCTTGCCCATCTGCCATTTTTCCCTGAAAATAGGAGTCATCAATTTTATATGGTTCGATATTGCATAAATCTGATATGAAATTGCATTACCTTGTATACTGGACCAAAACCACCCTGCCCCAACTTATTAGCAGAATGAAAGTTGTCTGTTGCCTTTGCCAACCCTTGAAAACTATATAATGGCAGCTCTTCAAGTTTAATTTGATGGGTATTCTCTCGAAGCATGCTACCAGTTGAATACTCTTGATACACTTCCCCTCTTTTAAATGTTAATTGCTTACTTTTCTGCTTCCTTCCTGATGTTGAAACTAATTAGTAGTGGTTTTTGTCTACAATGAACTTTTGTATGTACTTCTGAGCTAACTCTTTTGAACATACTACCTCTTTGTTTGGCCATCCACCTCCAAGAGTAGTATGCACAGATTGCAATGGTAATTGATCCTATGCTTATTGCAATTGCGAGAACTGTTTTCATGTTCTTCTCTTCATCTGTAAAATAGGACAAACTAAGAGATTTCACTGACAAATGAACACATTAGTTAAGGTTGCATTTGGAATGATGACTTTGCAAATGGAAAACTTTTTCAAACAATTTGAAACAGAATCAATATGCAAGGAGTTTCAGTTGATACATATTTGCTCTCAAATTCAGTGGACATAAGAATTCTGAATCATCAAATAAACATATGACAAAAGGAAAGGAAAAGAGGATAAGTAGAAGCATAGGTGAAATTCACTGCAATGGTGACACAACACATTACCAAGCTCTGAATATGCCACTCGAATGTAAACGTCTGCCCCACCATCTGGGAATTTCTGTATGTCAATTAGATTTCCACTCCATTGCATACACCCAATTCCAATGTAAAATGAATAAGCTATACATGAACAGTTATTCAAGCACAGACTTCCACAACTGTCATGTAGACCAGGTGACCACACCTCAAAATCTGGTACTTTTACTCTTTCAAGCTTCAAAAACCCATCCTCTTTTACCTTTTCATTGATGGTATTGTTTCTCTCACATTGTAATGGTGTCTTTCTTATGCATCCACTAGACCAATTTCCTCTACTCCATTCCTCCATATGCTTTGGCTCAAATCCATTTAAACAGGTACATATAGGTGAATCCAGTGAATTACAGCTTCCAAATGGACCACATTTGCCATAAACATCACACTCATTTTCTGGCCCCCACCACGGCACGGTCCAGTCTTCTTTCGCAACAAACCGATACTTCTCCTGTAGAGTTCCTTCATTATTCAAGAAGATGTAGCTTACAATGGACTCATTGGCATAGCTAAAAGTTAGATCAACAGTTCCTTTTTTGTCGTCAACAAGATTAAATCCATTACTATATAATTTATACATTACTGGAACTCCAATAAAAACCTGACCATTCCAAGGACCACTACGCCAGTATGGATGACTACCATTCCATACAAAAAACTGCGGGATGCTTAGAGGATCAACTCCTGCAGAGAAGGATCCAATGGATGGATCCGATGGACTTTTCCAAGATGTCAGCAGAGTCATCTCACCTTTCTTTGCATCAGTACCAAGTCTCATCATCTGTAAGAATGAGTTTGAAGGATGTTGAAAACTCTCCCATATGATCCTTCCACTGGAGTTGTCTCGTAAGACAAGGTTCCCGGTATCTAGAAGCTGGGCACTTGAATTGGCCACAGGATTCGAAACATTTGATGACCAAATGACCTCCTTCTGCCCATTCAAGATTACCAGATTACCACCCTCTGATATCGTCACAATCCCAGATGAATCATTCAAAGGCTTGTCTCTATTAGCAACCCATACAGCAGTCGTCACTGGGATGTTATCCAAGATACCAACATAACGATTCGTAGTATTTACAGGACTAAAGAACCCCAGCTTGAAGGTCTTTCCAACGGAGACTATAATTTCAGGGTCTTTGATGGATTGTGTAGATGTAATTGTGTCTCTGGAAGTGCAAAACTCTGACCAGAAACATATTAGTATTAGAACAAGGGCTTGAAAAGGTATAAACTTCAGATTATTGGAATGTGCCATATGTGGTTTGAGTCCTTATTGGCAAGGGTGGAAGGTGTTCTATATATTCCATGAACAATGGTCACTTTCTTCACTTCTGGAGATGTTTCCATGAAGAAGCAAGTAGCTTAAGGCTTAAGTCTCCTTTCTGTTGGATTTCCAATTGGGTGTGGGGTTTCCCAAAAGTCATCCTCGAATCTGATAAAAAAAAAAAAATCCTTGACTTTGGAAGATTTCTTTGAAAACTGGAAGGTAGAGGCACTCAAGGACAGACCACGGCGTTGGCCAACCATTTTCATTCATGTTTGCCTTGCACATGAGCCACAAATAGCAATCAAGCTGCCTGCTGGATTGCAGTACACAGAAAGAAACAGAAACAGGGCTTAAACGACAATATTTTGTCCCGAGGAAGCCATGATTTTAGACTTTGATGCCATGCAGTTGGGTGATCTAATTTTGTTATCCTCTCTTTTGCACAGTTCCAATACACATACCACACCCACCCACTTATTTATTCTTATTGTAGGCCAACAGAAAATTTACCAGCTGATATGTTAATATGTCAAGGGATCAAGTGCATTGGTGGTATCTAAGCCTGTCAACCTAGTCATGGTCATGTCAAACGGTTCGTGTTGCCCTTGTGTCAAAATTAATGGTGAAATCCATTTTACTAATTTGGTTCTGTAGCACTCAATCCCCCCATGGTATAAAAATAATCACTTCACCCCACATGTTTTTAGACTAATCTGCTACTGTCACACGTCGAAATAAGCTGTTCTTCCCTCCATCTCCTTTCTTCCTCTTTCTCCTTCAATGTGACACCACGGCCAAAAACCAGTCAAAGCATCAAAACAGAGCACTGAAGAAGATGTTTTTCCAACACCTTGGAGTACCATTTATATAAAAAATTATCTCCAAGAGCTTTTGGCCGGAGTTACAGCAGTATACATGAAATAAACTACAAAGAGTACAGATGTCATTATATACTAACAATCACCCCCAATGAGGCAATTCGTCAAACACCTGGGAAGCAACTTTGCAAAATTTCCACACTATACCAAAATGTAGGTGCATCGCGGATCTATCTCCTTTCTTCAAACTTCTAACGGTTCTTTTATTTTGAAGAAAAACTTCGCATTAACCAGGGGGCATCAATTTGAGAGAGAGAGAGAGAGAGAGAGATCAATCCAAAGAATCGACAAAGCAGAGAGAGTATGCAAAGAGAGAGAGAAGACAAATCTGAGTGAATGATCCACTGCATTATGATTAAAATGTAAGCTAATGCTGAGTAGTTGTCTTACGTAGTCCACAACCTTGTGAATTAAAAAATTATCTAGGCTACATCAAAATTAATATGTTGCAAGAAAAGTTAAATCGAATTACAAAAGTATGTACACCGAATGAAGAACAAAAATCAAAAGTAATTATCATGATTGGCCTTTTATCGGCCATCAACAATTGTGACAGTGAGACCATTGAGAGAACACTGTTTTTCTGAAGAAATATGCCTTTCGATAAATGCTGGTTGTTTTGGGGAAGGAAGATTTGCAATATCACTACTAAGCATTGATAGAACAGTCGAAACATTTGGCCCATCTTTTGCAAATTCTTGCACGCATAATAGTCCTACATGTATATATCCCAAGATCTCCAATCTGCTGTTTGTATCAGCAATTTCGCAATTTCCATGCCTGCAGACATTAAGACTGTTGAGCGACAATCTTCTCTTCATTCCACAATTTCCATGCCTGCAGACATTAAGATGAGAATGAAGTGTTTGATTTGGAACATTCGATATCAACCAGATGATAAGGTCCATAAAGATTCTCTTGGTAAAGAAAAACGAACTTACAAATCTTAGAAGGCTTAAAGAGTGTTTATCATCATAAAAGCTGGTGTTCCTTCTCCCAGATATAATCTCTAATATCAACACTCCGAAGCTGTAGACATCGGACTTTTATGAGAATCTTCCCTCCATAGCATATTCAGGGGCCATATATCCGCTGTGTATATCAATTTACAATAGAAAGTAAATAATTGTAATAAAGTTGAATTATTGCATGAGATGTAACTTCATCACATGGAGAAAGATACATATACATACTATGTTCCGACAACCCTTTTAGTATTGACTTGATCTTGGTTGCCTTCAAAAATCCTTGCCATGCCGTAATCTGAAATCTTTGGGTTTAGCTCTTCATCCAACAATATGTTACTCAGTTTTAAATCTCTATGAAGGTGAAGCACGCCACGACCAATCCCTTCGGTGATGTTGATGCATTTACCCCAGTCTAGGAGTTTTTGTTTCAATGAATCTGAGACATTTGTTTTTGAAAGGACAAGTATGAAAAGTTTGTAAGCTGTAAGGAAATTGAAGTTGAGAAGACTTTCATATTTTTAAGGCAAGGAAGTCAATAGTAATATAGAAAGCAATAACTTAACAACTACTGGTGATTATAACTGACCAAAAAGAAATGCATCCAAACTTCCATTTGGCATGTATTCATAGATCAGCATCTTTTCTTCTCCTTCTATGCAGCAGCCAAGGAGTCAAACAAGTGTTGGTTTTTTTTTTTTTTATGGAGTCTAGTTTGTATATGTGATCCGGATGATGACCCGACCCGAAGTAATGTTGTGTGGTTTTTAATGAAAATTTTTTTGAGGCTTAGTCCATGGAGCGAAGGCTTGGGCCGATAGGCTCAAGCCGTAGCGCTCATGGACAAGTCTTGTGGGGGTTCGGGGGCAACGCCTCCGAGGAAAATTTTTTTGGGCCCGTTATACAGCCCAGTGCGTAGGACATATAAACCCTGTTGTTTTGGTGATTAGGGTTAATCATGGATTGTACAGCCGCTCTCTGTATTCAACTCTCTCAATAGTGAAATCCCTATAGTTTCGTGGACGTAGGCAAATTGCCGAACCACGTAAAATCTGTGTCTTGTTCTTTCTTGTTTCTTATTGCTTTATATTCTTGATTTGTTCTTCGATTGTG